GACTAGACAGAATTTGTGCCTCCCATGAGGGCACGGGTCCGGACGCGATGACTTCTCGAGGGCCATTCCAGTCCTAGAATCTATGAATCTATGTCTCTGTTAATGCAATCTAAAATTGCATTTGCTTTTTTCGCAACAGCAACACATTGCTGACTTATGTTGATGTTGTGATCCACCACAACTCCCAGATCCTTCTCAGCAGTGCTGCTGCCAAGCCAGTTATCCCCCATTCTGCATTTGTTTTTTCTTCCCAAAGTGTAGCACCTTACATTTCTTTTTTTAATTTAATTTTGTTGTCTATTGCCCAGTTCTTCAATTTATCAAGATCCCTCTGAATTTTAGCTCTATCCTCCAAAGTGTTGGCAACCCCCCTCCCAGCTTTGTATCATCTGCAAATTTGCTTTCTATTTCTAAATCCAGGTCATTAACATGGGGAACCTCAGTCATATAGACCCAGTTCAAAAGGGAGGAACAGGGTCAGCGGGAACCTTGAGTCCTGCTGTTGCAGAAATGAGAAATGGATAGGCTGCCTCCCAGAAGATTCTTCCTGATCTGGGGGGAGAGGAGAGCAGACCTCCCTTCCCAGCCCCAAATTGGTATGCAAGATGCAAACTAGCAACAGTTCCTTTCTCCATTTATAGATTGCGAGGGGAACCAGCTGGCTCACTCAATTAAGATACCAAAAGAATAAGAGGGTCAGAATGTGCATGTGTTGGAGATAAATGACAAAGGTCTCCCGTCCAGAAAGTAGTCAAAAGTTCATTGGACATGGGAATCCCATGGGAAGTATGTAGGTGGAGAATGAGAATCAAGATATTTATAACATGCACGTTTAGTCTCCTCCCCACAAACTTTAATAATGTAATTAAGTTGATAGTGATTTTTCAATTATATAAAACTGATTTAATCCTGTTAAAATTTAAATGTGGATAAAACTTAAGCCGTTTTATAGCTATTTTTAAAAAATGTATTTAATCTAAAGCCATATGCCTTTCTACTCTGTTTGCAGCCAAAAGCATGAAACCAGACAAGTCTCTTGACAAACATTCTCTCCTATATACATCCAATAGTTTTGTAATATCAATTTTCCTTTCCATTTTCCTTGCCGGGGTGGATATTAAACCTTGCCATAATGTATTCATAAAAATACACAAATAAGGTAACAAAAGTAGCAGTAGGTGGTGCACAAATTCTGCAATAATAATATATATATTTTAAGAAAAGAAGGTGGAAAGGAAAAACATTTACTAAAATGTTATTTGCATCTGGTGAATAGCAGGAATATTTAGCTATCATAACAAATGTAGTACTCACTAACACATTTAGCTAGTGTCTGAAATTCAACATAACTCCTTACCTTTTAAAATGAACTCAATTTTACAAATGAGTAGAAAATGTACTGTATGTATATTAGTACAATAGGGGACCTCTTCAATATGTACTTAAGCTTTTATTAAAAATAGAGTTTTTGGTTTCTTAAAACAATAGCACAACCAGAAACTCAGGTGCTTACTGACTTAGTTTGTGTGCTATTACTCTTCTCTTCTTTAAGAACATTTTTAGCAGCTATTAACCTAAAGAAAAGCCAACTATTCATTAATCGCTATGACTGACATGTTTAAGTTGGTAACTCATATTGTAAATTATAGTACAGATAAAAGCTGAAATGAATTTTATTTGAAAAAAATTGAATATATAAACTTATTTTATGCTTGTGAAAATAACATTTGCAATACAATTCACACTAGGTTCCTACCAGATAATTCCTCCCCAGAGGAGGGAAAAGATAACGTAGAACAGCAGCGATCCCCAGATCACAAAGTGGTTTATCCATGTCCAGTAGTGTGTATCTAGTGCAAGCTGAAAGAAAACAGGTCATCTTGGTGTTTATATTATTTTTTAGAAGTGATAAAAGACTCAACAGGAGATGAGGTACAAAGAAAATCAATCAACTATTTAAAGAATTAACCTGAGAACTCTATGCAGAACTGTAGGGAACAATGATACCTTTCTATTTCTACCATAGTTAAGAAAGTTCCCATACCTAAGTACTAATCTTTGTATTCTGTATTGAGATCTAGTATATGTCATGACAAAGGCTTGACTATTCATTAGGAAATTATAACATTGAGATATTACTAGCGCAGCCCCAGACGATTGTTTCACCGTCCTCCCTCTTGTTCCTCTTTATAATTAGGCTGTAACTGTCTTAGTTTATATCAGTTACAAACTTACGTATATAATTACTGAAAATTGGCAATTATAAACTGCTTCAACCATTAAAAGAATTCTCTCCCCCCTTATAATAAACAAATAATTACATAGTGATGCTCATTATTGATGCTCTCTTTTAATCTAATAGGCTGTACTTATCGAATGATAGAAATATAAGTCATGAACTCCCAACGCTTCTCTCTTTTGACAGTGAAAATCTACTGGGGAAAGTATTCCAACAATGAACTCAGTAAAACCAGCTATTTTGAATATCCTGGCTAAAAAGTCACGTAAAAGGAATCCAAGCAAAATATAAGCATATGTGCATTTCTGTACAGAAATTTCCATTTCAGTATACAGAATATGTAAGAAATCAGTATATTTAAACATAAACCAACTTTGATAGGGCATCTGAAAAGGGATACATCACCATACCAACCTAAAAAGCTGAACTTAAAAAACCAAACCAAACCACAAATAGGAAAAATCTGGCAATTCATTGGTAACATTGTGATATCATGTCAAGATCCAACTTTGGAACTCCAGCTAAATCCTTCACTCTTGAGCTGCCAGTAACCCTGCACAGATTCAATCAATGTACCGAGTTTTTTATAGCTTCACATGCCAACAGCTCTGGACAGGAGCAGAATCAACAAGCTCCAAAGGAAACCGTGTTTAGTTCTCCGTAAGTAGAAGGATTATAGTCAAAATACCATGTGGGGAAAGTTGGTTTTAGTAAACAGGATAGGGGACAACTATAGTTATTGATGGGGATCCCAAAGAGGCTCAGTAGATGAAATATCAATATAGAATATCTTACCTTCAATGTAACTGTAAATACTAGCACAGTAAACACCAGTGTTCCAAAGGTCCAGTTTCCAAACATCTATAAAAAAGGGTCAAAAGTCATTATAGGTCATGTACTTCATTGTATCACGATCCATTTAGAACAAACTATTTGGATATCAGTTTATTTTGCTCGTGCGCACACATTTCAGACTGCACACATACACATAATCAGAACACTCAGCCCAAAGCTCATTGGTACTTTTCTTTGTGTAAAGAAAAACTGCAGCACAGTTAGTGTGTCACTGCGCTGTTTCCCAGGAGAGCATTGATGATATTTTCAGAGTCTTCTCAACTGCCATCTTTCTGCCTCCCTCCTCTCTAGTTCTTAGAGTCATATGTCTTCATGGAGACTGATGAATGCATCAGGTTGGTAACAGGACAAGTAAGAATAGGATATCCATCACAGAAATGTAGGTATGTTTAAACTTCACTGATTTTTTTTTTAAATACCTTTGGAGTAGTTGATACTAGATTTTTCCCTTTGATTCCTCACTACATGCACCTTGAAATAAAATCACCTCAACTACTCTAAATGAACATTGTTTTATGTAGCATACAATATTTATGGTTCAGGATATCAACATAATACCTTTTAACACCTACACATATATCCATTTTAAAAGCTGTGATAATGATGCAATATCTGAAGTATCTCATGCTCTTGAGATTCTTCAGATAGATGGCACAGAGAAGAGAATTGGAAAATGATGTGAAGGGGACCTGAGAGATGAACACAGACAAAACACAAGGGAGCAGCTGCTGCTTACTCAGTAAGAGACAGCATACAGCTCAGGAGCAGATGAGCTGAAGTTTCTTATTCAAATGCAGTGACAGTAGACTTCCAGCATGCTGCACCAGAGGCTGCTGGTTGGTTGCATGAGGAAAGGACAGACATGCAAAGATTAAATGAGCTACAATTTCTTTCCACGTCATTCCATTTCCAAGATTTATGAAAAATATGCTATTTTATACTAGGATAGAATTGTATTGCAATTGATAAATATGACTTCTGCCTTATTAAAACAAGACACAGAAGTGGCATGTATATTTTCCACATACTAGTATTTGTAATAGAGATTAGGTGTTACTTAATGTAAACTTCAGACATACTATAAATCATTTATTTCAGATACCAACTTTAACATAGAGCTTTAAAACAAAACAAAACAAAACAAAACAAAACCACCACCAACAAACCAAAATAAGTTTGGCTTTTACACCAAGAGAAATAAAGACCTTTTGTATTATAAATTATGCAAGGTAGAGACTTTCTAAGTAAGTTTTTTATCTAGTACAATGAAGCCCCAATCTCAGTTGGGCCTCTACATACTACTGTAACATAATAGGATTATTAATAATATTCTGTCAAATCCATAGTATTATGTATATTCACTACTCAGTTATTTATCTCTAGGTTTTCATAAGATCGCCCCCACCATGGTATCTGAGCTACTATCAGAAATTATAGTTATGGTAAATACATCTTGAAATAATGTACTTTAATAGACTGAACAACATGTATTATGATAAAATATCCCAGGTTTTCTATTTTGTTTAACAGAGATTTTGGTGCGTCTTTTAAATTGATTTCCTGTGAAGGAAACCACCAGTTTGGAATCTGGGCTGCTTCTCGCTACATTGTTTGTTTGTAGCTCTTCTCCAGAGTTGGTTGCTAGGCTTTTGGTGCCCAGCAAAGTCCTCTTTACCAGCAACATGCCCCCCACCAGTCCCTGTCATCTTTACTTCACAATGAGACAAGGACTACTGCAGTAATACTCCTACAGCTATCGTGATAACAGCAGGACTGAAACTGTGCATGGAGTGTTGCAGAAACTGGAACAGGCCCGGCCTGGCCAGCCCCTTATACCTCATTGGATCTTCATCCTAAACCAAATGGGAAGAGAGATACCACAAGATTTTGGGCAACTTCCGGAGCAGATATCAGGCAGGCAATCTGTTCCACATGAGAGGCACCAGAGCAGAAACCAGAAGGAGCACACAGTCAGATAGAAAGGGTCTTTCCTTCCAGCCATACTTTGATCCGGTGGACTTCCTCAACTGCATGTTGAGGAGAAAGGTGTGGAGTTGCCCAGGCCTTGACGTTCACCACATTTACTCCAGACTAGTAGGCTCTCTGCAGAAATTATTATTAGTGTTGATGTAAAGTGTAAATTACTATCCTTAGAGATTGATGTCCCATAAACAATAGAGCATATGAAGCTGTGAAAGCTCACTCAATTTGATTTAGTACTGATCTGAAGGGTTGACAACACATGGTGTCACCTCCAGGGATGGCAGCTTCCCTTTTTCACATGGTGATCCTTTGTCTCTCCACTGAAGCTTCCAGCAAGGGTGCCTCAGTGCCAACTGTGCTAGTAGTTTCTGTGATGTGGACAACTCTCCACGAGAAAGTAAACAGACACCGTCAACTCATTTTACATAGACCAGGACTCAAACTTCATCATACCCAATATCAAATTCTGAATCTCAGTTAGAAAGGATACCTTCTTCAACCATATATTATCCCACAGTGTTGATTTCTCATTTAGCTTAAGTTAATTCCATTGAAACGAAGATCACATGCTGCTGTATTCTTTATTTCTTGGTATTTTTACATTCAATACATTTCAACAGTTCATCCCAAATTTATCTGTGTATGGTGTTTAAGACTAAGAAACATTAAACCAATGAAGGATTGAAATATTAAAGTGATTGTTCCTCCATAATCAGGACTTTCACATCCATCTAATTTCTTTATATAAACCTGTGAGAAACCTTTTATTCACTAGTCAGACCTTCTGCATTTAATCTTCTTACCTGTACAACCTGAAGGATTTTGATTTACTGAGGTTTTGTTTTGGTAATCAAGTTGATTTTGATATGGCCACGGTCATGGCTGTACTATATTGTGTGTGCCACTTCTGAAAAATTCAGTTCACTTCTTGATTAGAGAGGCTAGGCTGGACTCTGAAACCCACTACTTAGTTGATTTGTTCAGGACTTGGGGGTCATGCCAAGACATGCTGACTTTCTTCCAGCAATTAGATCGTCAAGTAATTAGCAGACTTTGTGGGATGGCAAGTCCAGATTCCCAGTAAAAGCAAACCCAGATGGTGAACATTTTACTTGAAATTCTGGGTATTGTGTTTTGTTTGCTGATTTACTATGATATGCTCCTACCCTCTTCGCCCTCACTTTCATTCTGCTTCTGACCTCATTGTCCCTGTTCTCCATGTTCCTCTCCAACTTTCCCTCCTACCTCTCCCATCTCTTCTTCTCCTCTTTTTTTTCAATGTCCCTATTCCCTTCTTTTGGCTTTCCCACACCCTTGCTCCTATTAACCCAGCCTCCCTCCTGCCTTCCCCCCACTTTTCCAACTCCAATAATACAATTTAAAAAAATCCTACAACAAAACACCACATCAAGCACACACAAAACACACTGTGAAAGTTATATGACATTTACCACCTGCGATCACTCTGCTTCTATGTTGCATTCCTTTCCTTACTCTTTGCCTTCTCTGTTTAGATTTCAAGCTCTTTGGGGAACATCTCTACTCTATGTTGGTACAGTGTCTAACACAATGGGGTCCACAATTCAGTTGGGACATCTAGGCACCGCTGTAGTAAATTGACTACTATATTATTATTGACAGATCTTGGGCACCCGAATTTTGCTTGTCAGGCAATTGCTCTGGGCCAGCCATTTTGCGGTCAGCTGGCCAAGAGAAATGAAAGACGATGGGTGATAAAGGAACCCAAAATTCTAACAGTATATCACTTTAGAGATTGTAGTGGACCTTCAATAAGATTTCTAAATAAAGTTAGATGCTTTGGGTTTGTGATTTATTTTTAAGCTGAATGTCATGTCATGCTCTGGCCTGTCACAATGGAGTTTTTCACCACAGTAAAAGACATTAGCTTGCCTCACATTTTTACTAGCCTGACGGCAGTGGAGATTTGGGGTAAAAAGCTGGAAAAAAAAAGAATACCCTCTTGATGCAATAACCTAGGAGTTGTCCATTTTAACAACTTGGAACCTAAGGTGGATCATCTAGTGTAGCTTCATAAGACTGTCACACTTGTCTCTCCTCACCCCTTCACTTGTTTTTGACTCTGACTTGTTGTGAGATACTGAACTGATATTGTAAGCCATTCAAAGCTTGCTTTTGTGAGGCCGTTAGCACATATTGGACACTCAATCATTGTTTAGAGTTGAGGTGGATGTCCACGTTTCAGTTGATTACTTATCCCTGACAGCCAACATTTTCAGACACCCAAAATCCATGCTTAACACTGAAATAAAAGGTCAGAGTTTCAAAAGGTGCTGAACTTCCCTTAAATTCTGACTTCAAATGGAACTCTGGATACTCAGCACCTGTGTCATTAGGCTACTTATTTAGGTACCTAAACATTACTATGGGTCCATAACTTTAAGCACCCAACTTTGAACATTTTGGGATGAGGCTTTAATGTGATTTGGGAACATGGTTAAAAACCAAACTGGTTCATCTACACAAGAAGACTCAACTAAAAGATTAAAGATGGACTCTGAATCAATGCATCTGGCAACAACAAGAGGCTATGCGACTCCCACAGCTGTGAAAGAGAATTTTATGGGTACCAAAAAATTGAAATGACACAGAGTTTTCAACCTCAGATTGAAAACATAACAACAGGAGAAACAGAACTACTGTAGCATACTGCACTGCCAAAGGTAATTCTTTCAATGGACAGGCAAACTTAAAGAGAAGATTCCTGTCTTTTCTCACACAGTGGTTTAGTTTATTACATTCAATGATGTCACAATATCCATTCTACTCAAATATTACTTCTCTAGTAAACATAGAATTACATCTGACATTTCTGGACAGATATGTTTCACTTAAAATTGGGTAAAAAAATTACACAGTTGTATTCTCACAGTCATTCAGTGAATCTTTTCTAAAGTTGTGGAAATGTTAGATATTATAAATCGCCTAGAGTTGAGATTTTCAATAAGACAAAAGAGCTGAGTGGGAAGCACTGATGAAAACACAACAAAATGCAAAGGAAAGCAGAAAATTAATAGTTTCAAAAATGTATGGTCTTTCTAATACAACTCCCTGGCTGTAACAATTTTTAAAGAAACTAAAAAGGCAGCAACTGCTAATATTTCTATAAAAGGACAGAAGTCATGAAAATATTTGTAGGAAATATTTTAACTGTTCTTTAGTTCAAGAACAGGGAAAGAGGCAATGCACATCATGACAAAACCACAATAGTCTTACCATATGAGTGTTGGTTGTCATTAGCTGAGGTTAGGAAGAGAAGCAAGTAGCAAAAAAGAAAAAAAAAGCAGGACACAAATAAAATAGACCAAAAAATGTTAATGTGTAAATAACTAAAATGCAAAAGGTCCTTAAAAATTTATATTCATGTCACTGTACCAGAAGTAGAAACAGAAGGTCTTAAATGACGTAAAATATATAAATGTTAAACATGTAATTCTAGTCTGTTCTATTTAGGCTCTTGCATGGTGCCCATCACAAGGATATTCAGGCATCTATCTTTTAAAAATATGCGCAAATGAATAAAAGGAGTCAAATTATCAATATATATTGATGAAGTAGGTGTTAATTATGAAATAGCAAATTCTTACCGGATATTTCGAGTTCAGGTTATAAACTCCCTCCCCCACCCCCACCCCCAATCAGCATGCAGCCACATGCTGATTACTGATACATGATATTTTAGCTATATAATTCTGTTTCTGTTAAAAACAGTGTTACATATCACTCCTATCTCACTGCCACCCATAAAACAGTTATCTCTACAGGAAGCCTTTATGACAGTAGTTGGTTATTTTTAATGAATGACGCCTATGTAAATGATAATTGAACATTTGGGATTTTAAAAGTTACAATTTCTTCATTTCCCAAGTCTAACTTTGATCAAACTAAATACTAACCTGTCCATTGCTGGTCACAGTTGTGTTGTCAAACAAGAAATAGGCACCAAAAAAAATACCACAGCATCAAACAGTCCCAAGAATGTCCAATAAATAAATACACGCCAGCGCAGAAGAGCATTCTTGGTAATATCCCTGAATAAAACAAGACATATGCACTCAGACTGGCATGCTAAAAAGATCCAAGAAATATGAACTCAACAAATTATTTTGTGAGAAGAAATATTTAAAATATTGTATTTGGAACACAGTTAGACATTTCCCACGTGACAAGTGTCTACCACAGGGGTCGGCAACCTTTCAGAAGTGGTGTGCCGAGCCTTCATTTATTCACTCTAATTTAAGGTTTCACGTGCCAGTAATACATTTTAATGTTTTTAGAAGGTCTCTTTCTATAAGTCTATAATACATGACTAAACTATTATTGGATGTAAAGTAAATTAAGGTTTTTAAAATGTTTAAGAAGCTTCATTTAAAATTAAATTAAAATTCAGAGCCCTCCGGACCAGTGGCCAGGACCTGGGCCGTGTGAGTGCCACTGAAAATCAGCTCGCGTGCCGCCTTTGGCATGCGTGCCATAGATTACCTACCCCTGGTCTACCAGCTCCACATTCATCTCTCTCCATAAGATCTACGACTTTTGTCTAGTCTCCTCCACTACTCGTTGACTATAATTCTACCATTTCCCACTCTGATGGTAAATTCTGTATTTGTACTGTACCAGTCCAAGTTAGATTTCAATCTCTTCAGGGATGGGACATGTTTAAAGTACAAGTTTTGTAAAGTGCTGTGCACAGTGATGACCTAAAAAGATATGTAATAAATTGAAACACTAGAGGTCTCTGGAGACTTTGCTTTCTTTTCCAGGCGGAAACTTATTATTACAATATGGAATGTTAGCAACATAGGTGCAGTCATGCTTACCAGAATCGAAGAGTATATTAACATAAAGAGTATTACTAGAATGCTTTCCTTTAGAAAATGTGATTGATAGTTTGCTGGACAAAAGTGTTTGGCTATAGTAAATTTTCCCCAGTACATATGAATCTGAATGGTACTGGTTTAATTCTCATACATGGAAAATTGGGACATGGCCTATCATAAAATGGGTCAGAGCAAAACTGAAATGAAAAATGTGAATTATAAAGATCTAAACAGTACTTGGAAACAAAAGCACTTATACACGGTCTCCCTTTCCAACACTGATCATATCAATCAATATTTTCAGCCAAATACCTTTAAAAAAAAAACTGGGCTCAGGACTGTCTTAAATTATTTTTCATTGTGAGTAAATTACCCCATTCATTTAAGAGCAATTTAAAAAAATATATATCACTATAAATGGCTAAAATAGCATCATATCTCATGTGGCCTACAATAATTTTGTGCTATTGACTGACAAAATAAGTTCAGAAGATCAGTGGGCATTAAATATGCTATGCTCTCAAAAGCCAAACAAAAATGTCACTCTCCAAAACGAGCATTTACATTTTTTTTAAATTGTAAGGTATAATAAAAATGGAGTTTTCAATAGCAGTATGTAATATTACCCCTAGGATCTAAGAGTTCACCCAACTGTGAAATAAATACCTGGAGCCATATCACACTTTTCAAGTTTATGCTTTGGGCATCTACGATTACTCTTAAAATAAGGCACTGGTTTTGCAGCTACAGCAATCCAAACCAGGCACTCATCCTAATGTGAACTGCCAAATGCAGTTTATTGGCAGAGATAGTCATCCAACTGGCAGCAAAGAGTAATCTAAAATAGTTTTAGCATTATTGTCCTGCAAACCAGCCAACATTTCGCTGTTGACTATTTTGGTTTCCCTGCGAAAGGATCTTGGGTCATGTAAAACTGATGGATGTTTCAGGGAAACACTATGGCAGATTGCAAGCAGGCTTGAGGTATTAACAAGCAGCAACAATATGCTTATGGGGCTTCAATGAAACTTGTTCACATGGTGTCTATTTTGAAAAACATGTTGCTGCATAAAAGATATCTTTGACTATACCAACACCACTCACCTCTGCAAGAAACACGGAACTCTCTGATGGAATTAGATCCAGCAAAGAAAAGATTTAAGGAAAAAGGAGGGAGAAACTGCAGCTTTCAGTCTCTCTTTCCCCTCCAAAGAAAATACTATACATAGATATATAGTGTGTTTTGTTTCTAGGAATCTGCTGTCCTCCACAGATGGAGGCATTAAACAATACTAAATGAATACATTTTTTTCACTCTGTAGGGCAATAATTTTCTACTATAATTCTGAACTTCTGTCTAAGACTGTACATAATCTATAGAGTTTATCCAGCTATTGATATATATATATATATATATATATATATATATATATATAT